TAAACCTAAACTACGTTAGGGTACGGTAGTTAGTTTGTTACTACTTAACTTTACTTTACTACCTACTAGTAGTTTAGTTAGTAGTAGTATCTCATATATATATATATATATATATATATATATATATATATATATATATATAGAAGATGCTAGGGTCAGTCCACTAGCTATTGGAATAATATTAGCCTAACAGCCCAAATTGAATTTGGGCTGATCTGATGGTCAGGACTGTATTTCAATAATATAATTTTAATATTTTTTATATAAATCCTAATAATATGAAATTTGGAGCATCAACTCTTTTCATCAAAGCACACCAAATAAAAATAGGGAAAATTTCTCCATGGGTCCTAGCTTGATATGTGATTGTCCCTTAGATCCTGAGTTTTGAAGTCTCTCTAGTGGCATTAAGTTTCTCACTTTTCTATCTTCTAACAGCCTGAACTTATTTGGTACTGATTTTTTGTCTTAACAAAACACAGAGACGCGCAGGTCTTACTCTTATATCACTCCTCTTTTTTCTTTTTTTTTGGCCGCCTTGCTCTACGTCTCTTTCTCACCACCCATCTCTCTCTCCTCTCTCCCCCTATTGATCTCGCTATCTTGCCCAAGCCATTTCTCTCTCTTCCCCCATCCCATCTCGCTCTATGTGGCCTCACTCTACCAACCCCTCTGTCTGTCTTGCCAACCCATCTCTTTGTCTCACTCACTTCTCTTCCCAATGGATCTCTCTCTTCTCTCCCCCAATCTCTCTTCTATCTCACTCAACCCATCTCTCTCTCTCTTTGACCTCTTCCCCCTAATTGTTCTCACTCTCTAACCCAAGGCATTTCTCTCTCCCTCTCTCTCTCTCTTCCCCATCTTATCTTGCTCTCTCTGCCAACCCCACTATCTCTCTTGACCACCCATCTCTCTCTCACACTCACCTCTCTTCCCCAATCGTCTCTCCTCTCTCCCCCAATCTATAACTGTTGGAACGACTTGTAGGAAGGCCATTTCTTACTATATGGTGTCCTAATTGGTGGTGGGATTGTTCTTTGGCTATGAGGAGCCTCTTGTGTCTCTTGGCTCTTCTTGATCGTCATGTTCATGATCATGTGTTCTTTCTTTGGTGTTTGAGTTGTCAGAAAATTTTAGAAAATTTGTTGGAATTATAGTAAGAGCAAAGGCATGGATGAAATTAATTTGGGGTTTGATTATGGCTAGAGAGAGAAAGAGGGGTTGGCAGAGAGAGTGAGATGGGATAGAGAGAGATAGGGGAAGAGAGTTGAGAGGGAGAGAAATGGGTTGGGAGAGAGCGATTGGTGAGAGAGAGAGAGAGATGGGTTGAGAGAGAGAGAGAGATGGGTATGGGGCGGGTGCAGGGTGAGAGAGAGATGGGTATGGGGCGGGTGCAGGGTGAGAGAGACGCAGAGTAAGGTGGAGAAAAAAGAGAGAATGAAATGAGAGGGGGATCTGCGTGTCTCTATGTGCTTTGTTTAGGACAAAAAATCAGTGCCAAATGAATATTGGGTGGGTAGTAACCGTTCAACGGGTTAGAAGATAGGAGAATGAGAAACTTAATTCCGCAAGAAAGACTTAAAAATCAGGGTCTATAGGGAAATCATATTGATGGGAAGCCTATAATATTTAGTGGTTGGTGGAGCAGGTCAGATTTGCCGGAAAGGCTTTGGAATCCTTTGATTTTTCTTTTTAATAACTTTTTTTTTATAATTGTGTTTTTGAACTTATGAATATATATACACATATTGAATTATAACATTTGGGGAGGACTGGTTACAAAATTACCCTTTTATAAGCGGGGTAGAAGGGGAGGGTTAGTTGTTGGGGTTTTCTCTCTTAGAAATTCTCCTTGTGGAACTGGAATCGAGTGGCACTGTTGTGGCTCAATTCATGGGACATTCTCTTCAACTCCTTGGCTAGAACAGGCATGCCGCAATAGAACACACCTGCGTCATCAAGTCCACCGTCATTATTAAATAAAAGTCCCCATTACATCTGAAAATAACATTTAATATTTCGTAACTTCATCACTTATCAATAGCCCATATTTAAACCCAATCGCCCTCCTACACCAATTGTAAATCCTGTGCTCAAGGTTTAAAAATATGGTTCGGTGACCAGGATCAACCCTTTGGAAAACCGGTCTGAATTGGTGGTTTGGATCGACGATCTGGCTGAGTGAACCCGGAAGTAAAAGAAATAAAAAAATTAGAAAACAAAAAATTTGAAAAAAATATTAAAAATACATGTGGGACCAGTTCCTAATAATTAGGCAGAAACGGACCCGCCTGATCGATTCCCGATCCAAACCAGTTGGTTTGCTGATTTACTAAACCCGACTTGTATTTATCATTTATTATAATGTAACACCATGAGCTTGTTTGAAGGTAGAGAGCTCCTTAAAGTTTCAACCCTTTAAATTGACCAACAAGGCATAGCTGGAAAACACTACACGGCATGGGTGAGTAATCAGCCCATGCCCGATTCGAGTACTTGGCCCAAGTCCAATTAACTTGGCTTGAGTAGGGCTGAGTAATATAGCAGCAAAAAAAAGGTTACAAAATTAAAAAAAATACAAAAAATTGAGCAAAAAAAGGAAATATGTGTGTAGTAAGATTAAGCAAAATACATCAAAATGAGTAAAAAAGCAGTAAAAAAATAGACTTAAAAAAATCTAACTTGTGACTAGGGTTATTTTTGAATTAATCCAAAAGACTAGGAGTATTTTGAAATAATCCAAAAAAGATGGAAAAATGTAAAAATAAATATTCATGGCGAAAACGCTTTCCAATATTTGCGAAAATGATAGAAAATATAAAAAATCATATCACAAATAAATTTTTTATTTTTTAAGATTTTGTTTGAATTTTTTTAATATCCCTTAATGGGACACCCTACTCTACCCGAGTACTCGGGACTCGGACTGATTAGTCAAACACTGCAACAAGTATACCACGAACATCCGGTGCATGGTGTATGGTGTATGGTACACCATGGGGCATCCACCCTCGATTCCCTGTAGTTTGGGATTCACTGGGACATGCCTAATTTGCAAAGTCTATTATTGCGAATGGATGGTGAATTCGTTGTTTATTACGTATGTCATACTCTAGTGGTGTAAAATAAAAATCCTTCTTGACGAAGTGTCTTGTGTGGATTTTACTTTGTATATTTTATTGGCTTGTTAAATTTTCCCGAGTCACTGTTTAGCAAAATGACACATACTAGCTGTTGGATTTTACATTGATAGCTTGAGGGTTTTATGACTTTTGGGTATGAAGGGTGATTGTTCCGTTGTTTATAATTCTACTAGGAGAAGTGTACAATAAGACTATTTATCTTGGATAAAAAAATATTTTTATCACCCTTATCTGGCAGATGTGAAATCCGGCCACTAGAGGCATTGTTATTGCCTGCTTTTGAATTTGGATAAAGTTTTCGCTGGTGTTCGTGTGGAGATATGAAACACTGCAGCTCTCTTATTTTACATGTTATGGCCTATACAGTTTGTGACATTTATGCACAAAATGTAATGATCCCATTGCATGCAATACCAATGAAGGAAAATATATATTAAGACCGTTTACCTATGCTACACAAAGGTCACAATCACCCCTATCTATCATATTTGAAATTGGGCAGCTGGGATTGTGTGGTATCATTTTTGAAGTCCTAGAATTTTTTTTTCCATTTTTCTGTCTAGAAATGACATGCCCGATATCCAATTTTACATATAATGACTTGAGGTGTTTGTAAAGTTTGTGTGCAAAAAATAACTGTCTCATTACATGTCATCTCGGTTAGAGAAAATATACAATAAGACCATTTAGCTTGGTGTGAAAAGGTTACAGCTACCTTTAGCTTATTCAGATGTGAAACCAGGTGGCTAGGTGCATAGCGCTCAAAAGATTTTCCTAACCTTTGTGTGGGGGAGAGGCACATCTCTGTGGTGGTTTGGTTTTATGGCTTGTAGTTTTCCTGATCTTTGGGTACTTGACCGTCTAATTGTCTATAATGCCTCTAGTTGATCCAATGGGTTTCATGAAGTAAGTAGACACCAAAGAATGACCCACGAATGAACATAAATGAGTTTTAGTATCGTTTCTTACCCACTGTTTTGTATGGGTGCTTGGAGGCTATTTTGGTGAACACTTTCCTCCAATCTGGCCTAGCAAAATGTGTTCGTACCTGGCAACAATATTGGTATGATCATTAGAAAATCACATCAACAAACAGTTAGCGTAAAACCTTTCTCTCTCCCCCAAACCCTTTGTTAGTTTATAACCTCTCTCTTAAAAAATTAAGAAGAAAACTAATTCAAATAGAAGAAACTTGAGAACTAGTCCATGAAAATATGGCTCGTACCCTTGTGCCAGAGACAATGTCGACACCATGTTTAGCATGGTTGAGAGCCTGGACCATGGTGAGTAGGGTGGATCTTGCATCCCCCTCTTCATAGACGCATGTGAGGTAATTGTGCATCTCTATGATTCCCTTCTGATCCATCTCGGCGACTTCATCCATTACTCCCTTAAACCACTCAAAAGAGGATGCCTCTCTCGTGACCCAGTAGAAATGGGCATGTGTGGTTCTTTGTGGCTGTTTCTTCTTGGAGCTTGCCATGGATATGAAACTATTTGAACTGTCATCTGATCTACTGAAGTCTGTGTTTGTATCCTAAAACAACCCAAAAGGCGTAATTGAAATTATATGAAGCACGCAAACCCTTTCTTTAATTTCTGTTGAGTTTTATGGAACAGTTGTATTTGGTTTTTGAATGGTACTTATGAACTTGTGAAGGTTAAATTTTTTTACTTTCTGTTTATTTCGAATACCGTTTGGTCTTCAGATAGTTTGATGTTGTTGAGCAAGTCTCTGAGAATGCTTATGAATGGGGTGGCTCCAATCCCAAGCCCAACTAGGAGTAGAACGTCATAGTTTCTGTAGTCTTGTGCTGGCGCTCCATAAGGCCCATCCACTAGTAATCGAGGCAAGCTGTGAAATGAGATGTTGAATAGTTGCAAGTTAGATTATAGATATGAAAATTGATGTTGAACAATTGAGTACGATTATCATTTGATAAGAAGAATGTAGTTTACCTCTTCTGATCAATTCTTCCTTGGTCGTCGAATTTAGCCCTCCCTATCACAGACGAAGAGTCACAAGTCTCCGCGAAGACTCGTTTTAGTTCTTCAGTCCAATCTCCAATTGTTCGAATGTGCACACTAAGATAGCTATCATCCGGGGCAGAAGTAATGGAGAATGGGTGCCTGTTACATTCAAACAGAAAGCAAAGCAAAATTGATAATTTCCAAGAGATCTGGGTTTTCTAGAAGACTGATATTCCTGGAGAATTATTTCTCACTAAGAGGAAGATTAATGGTTTCTTCAGGAAGGGTGCATTGGCAATTTGATGACAATTTTGGGCACCCTTTGGGAATTTATCAAAAACTGATAGCATATTATGAGTCTATGATCCATGGTAATAGTATGGTAGTAGGCGGTCATCATCATCTATTGGTGAATTGGACAGTGATGATGGGAGAATGCGCGCCACCAATCATCTCATTATTCGACTGTACATCAAAGTTACCATCCATCACCACCCAGCGCACCGATTTGACTGTGATCATCCCAATAACCATTCTGATACCATGGTCATATTGTATTATACTATGCTCCCCCCTCATCCAGGGGCTTGAAACTCAAATTCAAAGCTCACTCACCACTCAAATGGAGAGACTGCAGGGCATTGAAGAAATATGTACTGCCCACTTTTGTAGCGAAATCCTTGGGGCTTTGACATGACCAGGGTTAGAACCCTTCCTGGAACTACTGCTACCTAATAAAGATACAACCCCCATTATTAATTTTGCAGTAGTAAAGAAACATAGTGGTAATGTTTGTTTGATTATTGTACTCTAGAATTTGGTGTCTATGATACATGCATGGGGTTAGTAGTTACCTTGAGGATTTTAACTGCAAACGATTTGGATCGGAGGGTTCTAAGAGTCCGCTCGCCCAGGTAGAGTATCAAAGGGACAGAGAGGTACATCCAAGTCTGGTTCCATTATAGAAAATGACAACCCATTAAACAAAAACAAGCACATAACGTAAACCAGTGTACTGTGACTTGAGTGAGAGAGAGAGAGAGAGCCCATTAGACAAACAAACGCACAATGAGACAGAGAGAGAACCCATTAAACAAAAACAAGCGCCATGTACTGTGACTTGAGAGAGAGAGAGAGAGAGAGAGAGAGAGAGAGAGAGG